GGAGGGAGGAGGGCGAAAGGGATAATTTGGCACATGTGTGTGGTGATGGGTTGGAATTAGTATTTGGGTGGTGAACATGATGTAATCTATGCAGAAATATAAGTATAATGATGTACACCTGAAATTTATACAATGTTATAAACCAATGTTACTGCAATAAACAAAAATTTAAAAAAAAAAGACTTCCCCTGAGAACACAGGGCAGGCCTGCTGAGAAGACTGAGTCGTGTTGGAAAAGACCAACTAATATTTTGGGGAGGCATCAGGGGAATTTCAGGGAAATAGGAGAGAAGGAATCTGGATTAGAAGAAGCAGGGCTGGATATTAACAACTTGCAAATGAAGTGCAAATAAAATGCAGATGTTCCTGTTGCTTTGAATCACTGTGTTCATTTTCCAGTGTGGGGTGCATAGATGTGGTAGCCGAGCAGAGAGCATAAGTCTGAGAGGACTGGATCTCTGGATCCCCCCAACGCCCCTCCCTGTCTCCAGGACCTGAGTCTAATGCTCAGGGGTGGAGACGTCTGCAGAGCTGCCAGCTGGGAGGAGGTGGCACGGGAATTCCCAGGTACTACTGTCGGCCTCACACCCGTGGGGATGGTGCCAAGGACGCCGCAGGGATCCCCGAGGCCGGGCGAGCGGGAAAGGAAGGACAAACTCCCCCAGATCCAGCGAGGTCCTCTCCCGGCATCGCCCCCGCCCCCGAGTTCCCTCGCGGGTCAGCAAGGACGAGCTGGACGGGTCCTGAGCAAGCAGTGAAAAGGGAGGAGCCTTGCAAGGAAACCAGGGTAGGGGTACCCAGGCCCACAAACAAAAGAAATGGGTTCTGCTCACGGTGCCCGAAGAGCAGGTGGCACGGAAAGCAGGGATGCTGCCCCCAACCCGGGACATGGCCCGGGCTCCAGGGGGCACGCGCAAGGTGTCACACGCGGGCGCTGGCGGGAGGGGTGGGCGCGAGCACGCGCGGGGTCTCACGCGGCTCGGACGCGCGGCGCGCATGCTCAGCCCGGCGCCTCTCCCGGCGGGGCGGGAGACCTGGCGTTCCGAGGCGGGGGAAGGAGCGCTCGCGCAGCCGCCCCTGACCCGAGCGCGCTCGCGGCTGCTGCAGCGCTCGGCGCCTGGGCCCTGCCGAAGCCGGGTCTAGCATGTGCCGCGGCTCCCGGGGGCGGCGGCGGCGGCGGCTCCTCTGCAGCAACAGCAGCAGCAGCGGCCGCCATGGCCAAACCCAGCGCGGAGCTCACCCGCGAGCTGCAAGGTACGAGGCTGCGGTGGTCTCTGGGACGCCCCGTCCGGGAGCATCCCAGCCCCAGTGCGTTCCTCCGCGCGATACACCCCAGCCCCAGTGCCTCCCGCCCCCCTCCCCAAGCATCCCGGCTCCAAGGCAGCACCCCCTTGCCCCTGCATCCCAGCTCGCGGCATCGCTGTCCCCGGAGCATCCACCGCTGCCCCCCTCACCCTATCAGGATCTTCCTGTCCCAGAGCCGCCCGTCCCGATCTTCGGTGACAGGTGCAGTCCCCTTGCGCTCCCTGGGGCTGATTCTCAGCGATACTGGCCCACCCCTCGCCCAGGTGTCTAGTCTCCCCTCCGGAGAGTCCCCGCTTCCCCGCCGGGCGGGGCCAGGCCCGCCCCGCCGGGCGGTGGGAGCTGCCCCTGGTCCTGACAGCCTCTTGGCTCAACACCCTCCCTCCTCCCAGCCCCGCCCCGGAACTGGCCATGGAGAGCCCCGATAGCAGCCGGGCAGCGCCCAGGCCAGTGGGGCACAGAAGGGAGTCAGGGAAGAGGGCCTGGATTGGAGGTAAAACCAAGAGCATGTTCTCTGCAGCTCGCCTTCCACAGCCCCTGTCCCGGCCGGCCCCCTTCTCGCTACCCTACACCCACACCTCAAGGCCTCTCCTGTTCGCATGGTTCTCAGACTCAGCCCAAACCAAGGCCCGACCCCCAAGCACTGCCACAACCCTGACCCCCAGAGGCGGGAGCGCAGGCTAGCCCATGCAGAGACCAGGACGCTCAAGGATACTCAGAGGCATGCTGTGCCGTGGCGATTTCCCACACCTCCACACACACACACAAGCCCACTCATGAGATGTGTGTACACACATCTTTACAGAAACTGCACCCCCACCACACACTCACACT